CGGCTGGCCGACGAAGCAAAACTGGCGCGCAACGAGTGCATATACGCGTTGAGGTGCTGTCCGAGTCAGGCGATCGATCTGCGGGCTGGGCATCGCACCTTAGAACCCTTGGCAAGCACAGACCGCCACGCAAGCTGAGGACCCAAACCTCGAGAGCCAAACTTCACAGGCGAAGGCCCAACCAACGGCGCGAGCTCCCTCTCCGCCGTGTCAGCCCATCTTTGGTACAACTTCCCGAGGAGAGAGCAAGCAATGTCGGACCTACCACTGTCGATCAGGCTCAAGGCCGAGTCGGCAAGAGACTGAACGCCCGACCAGTTCTGGGGCCTCGGAGCGGGACCAAACACAGCTCCACACGGCACCGGGGGAGGCCCCCTGAAAGACAGAGCCCTAAGAACAGCCAGTTTGCCGTGGAAAACCAGGTCCACGGGCCTATGGGGCGAGAGCTCCGTGTCCAAACGCGTCTCGATCCTGTCGATGGCCTTGATGGGGCCCCCAGACACAACGAAAAACATCGAAGGTGGAGGGAGGGCCAGCAGGAAAGTGGGCAGGGGTCTTCGGAGCCACCATCGCAGCTCGAAGCTCCGAGACAAACCGCGACCCTCCGATGTCGGAAGGCTCCATGTTAAAATCTCACCCAGGGACCCAAGGCTTGCCAGCCGTGGAAAGGCAGAGCCCTAAGCTGGAGAGGATCTCCATGTTACGGTCCGACAGGCCCTCCGAGTGGTGAAGGTAGGCCGACGCCACCAGCATGGGCGGGGCCCCAGGGAGCTCGGACGAGCAAACCACGGCGCGCCCACAACACACCTGGCCCCCAGGAGCGCCCAGGCAGCCCATCCAGGAACGCACGAACATGGCGACCCCACCAGAGGAGTCGTTGGCCTCCGTGGGCGTAGCGGGCGACCACGCGCTCTTCCAACCACGGCGAAGACTCCAGGCGCTAGCCTGATCGATACCTTCCGCCCGAATCAAGCGGTGCTCCTGACAGAACAGAATGTGCGCATCAGTTCCCTCAATCATACTCTTCATGCGTCCCCAAGGGCTGCAATTGACGGACTGAATCCTGAGAGGCAGCGCTTCAACCTGGACAGGAAGACTCGAGGCGAGCGCCCGCGATTCCAGCGCGGAGGGGGGGGGGGGGCTCGAAGCTCCATCGCCCTCGCGTTATGAAGCAGATTTGCGAACAAATCTGGCAAATAGTGGGGACGAGGGCGGCTGCTGCTCTAAGCAGTCCGTCGCTCCCGTCGGCACCGATGGGGCAGCGAGAGGAAGCCGAGCCATCGCGGTGCAGCCAGGAGACGATTTTGGCCAGAGACGTTACAGGGCATACGCCCCTGGGCCGAGCAAACGAAATCGGAGCATGCTGCTTGAAAGGAGAACACTCACTCAAACAGTGCTGCGGTCTGGAAAGAGCCGCGTCCGCACGCGAGAGCAAGCCTCTCCAGCGGACGCCTGGCTGTGCACGATGCGAAGAAGTCAACCTCGAAACCTGGGAGTGCGAGGAGGCGGCGAGGAGAAGAGGCACCCCTCGCCTGCGCCAGAGAGCAACCTGCGCCGAAGAGCGGCACGGCCCTTGGAACAGAAAAAGACTCAAAGCCCCCCTGGAGGAAAACCATGCACGAGCCAGGACACATCCAGGAGGGCCCCACAGCCCCAGACGAGACGCCGAGGTCCAGGTGCCCAGGATATCTAGGTTCCTCCAGGGGGGACCGCCTCAGAAGCCTTGCCAGCGATCCTATCAGCCCTCGCCATCGCACTCGGCCTGGAAGGGGTAGACGACGCCGCCGTAGGGCCCGAAGCTGTCGGTGCAGTAGCCGTTGATGAAGCTGCCTCCGCGCCAGCAGGCGTCGAGCCGTCATCGGGCTGCGACGCAGTACCTTGGGCGTGAGGAGCCGCATCTCCACCTTCGACACCTTGACCCTGTTCTCCTGTGCGATTCTTCTTGGCTGCCATCCTCGCTGCCAACTGCTTGTGTTCAGCTTTGAGCTCATCGACCTTGGCCTTCGCCTCTGCGATCAAATTTTTCGCCATGTCCGAGATGCCAGACTTGAAGAGCTCCACTCGCGCTGATAACTGCTGTTGTTCTTCAGGCGATAGAGATTCCTCATCCTCAACAAATTTGAGGCAATCTCCCACGTCGAGGTCGAAGGCCGCCGAGAAGCGCTGCTCATCCAGCAAGTCTTCGAGACTGAGCTTGTTGCCTGGAGAGCCAGCTGCTGGCTGCGATTGACCGTCCGGGAGCTGATTGTGCAGCTGACGCACCAGGCCGCTGTGCTCTGCAGGGGGACCTGGTGCTGCTCTGGCGCCTGCAGCGCCTGAGCCGATGTCCTGTAGCCTCGAGCACCGTGGAGGTCGCCTGCCTTCTCGCACAAACTGGCCATCTGCAGATATTCTTCCGCAGAAAGCTTTGAAGACGGAGCAGACGCCGTAGTGTTCGATCCTCCATCCCCAGCCGAGCCCTTGCCGACGGCACCTTTGCCTCCACCGGCCTGCGTGCCCTTGAAGAGCTCGAGGGGCGAAGTCCCCGAAGCCCATGCGCCACTGAGGTAGGTAGACTCCGACTTGAGGCCACCACAGTGTTTGCAGTAGTAGAAGCGGTGCTCATTGCGGCGACATCCACACAGAAGACACTCCCAGCGGGAAGGAGCAGCATGAGGAGCACCGCCACCGCCTTCACCACCATGGTCTTGAAGGCCAGGAACGAGCGGGGGCCAGACCTTGGGGTCGCGGGGCCTCGGCGGGCGGACAGCGCCTTTGCCCGTGCCTCCTCCATCGGGCGGAGGGGGCTGCGACCAACTGCGGTGCTTCGGCGCCCATGAGGCCACTCCTTTGCCACCGCCGCCCTTCCTCGCCATGGCCTGGCCGAAGAGTTAATCGTGAAAGCGTGCGGGTTGAGATCCCGCGAACTCAATGAAACCACACGAGCCAATCTGGCTCGCAGCAGCTATATGCCGTTGTGAAGAGAAGCTGCTGCAAGCGCAGGCACAACGCCTGAGCCACAACGGCTAGGAGGAGGAGGAGGAGGAGAGGGAGCGAGGAGGAGGAGGAGGAGGAGGAGGAGGAGGAGGAGGAGGGGGATCTCTGAGACCCGGTGGTTCTTGACGATGCATCGGGCACCGCGGCTGTTCCAGAGCGCTCCGGGTCGCTCTGAGAGCGCTCCGGAACGCTCGGGGACGCTGTGGAACGTCGCCCCAGTCTTACAGCCCCGCCCGAGGATAGCCTCTGACAAGTGTTGGCCGCCTCTGGGGGACGAGAACGGGGCCCCTGGACCGTCGGGGCGAAGAGCCAGTCCTGGGGAAGGGGTCGAGACGGCTGGGGATCCACGCAGTCACGCAGTGAAGAGCTCACGACGTCGGGGTTTGGGGAGTGCTTACGCCAGCGCCAGACTTCGAGCCAGGGCGGCTGCGGCGGGCGATGGGTCGGCAAGTACGCGGGCACCCACCATTGTATACGTGCATGGTGGGCACAGGTACACAGTAGACACATGCGTTGATAAGACATATCGAGGCACATTATTTGTCGATCTTTGAAGGCCCTGAGTTGCCCTATAGCTTCTGTGGGTCCCTGGGGAGATCGGGGATAAAACATTGTAATTGGGCGCCGTCTGGCAAGTCGGTTTCTCACTTGACGTGCGTACTGACGAGAGCTGCGAGGCAGACGGGTGGATTGAAGGGAAGGCGGCAAGCAGGTGATAAGGTAGCACATGCAATAACACTGACACCATCAATCATTATGTACACCTCTAATTATTGTAAGACACAAGATCGACAGAACGCCGACACGTGTATAATCATTCGCCACGCCACTTCTAGGATCAGTCGTCGAAGAAGAAACAATGCTTGCACCAATGATACAAACAGTAGCGGCAATGACATCAGTAGCACGGTAGTCGTAGCACTTCAATTGGCAGTAGTACCAGACACTGGCCCCCGGGGGGCGCCAAACGTTCCCAAGAGGCCCCAAGATCGACCCATAAGGGGGACCGCGAAAAGACACTCAGGAATATGGTTGGGATTCCACCCTACCTCCAGCACAAAATCACACCAAGCCCATCAAGATGTCCCAATGCACACAAGATGCTCCCAAGAGGTTCCCACGAGGTCCCCAAGAAGCCCCTAAGAGGACTCCAAGTGGCCCCCTGACTGGCCTTGGCTACAAAAGGCCCGACAAATCCGTCGACCCTGTCGGCATGTGTGAGACGCCTTTCTGTTTGAATCGTCGTCTCGCCAGCGCCATTCCCCCCCCCTCTCCCTGGGCCCTCCTCCTCAAGCGATCCAGCCAGACGGAAATCAAACAGCGTCGTAGTTCATTCGAAAGGAAGCGCCCCTTCACTTGGACCCCTTCCCTGCCAAGGGGGGTCCCTTTGTGATCCCTTCCCTGCTGGGGAGGGGGAGGGGGCGTCGCCGAGGGGGCCCCTGGGAGGGTCCCCGAGGGGGGGGGGGGGGGCCCACGAGGCAGACCCGAGGGGGGGGGGGGCACCAGGGGGCCTGGGCCTCCCCCTGGCAGGCCCCCGCGCCTGCCCAAGAGTCCCCTGGGGAGATCGCGGGCGGGGGGGCCCCGCGGGGGGGGATCGCGGGGGGGGGAGTCCCCGGGGGGAGGGCCCCGGGTGTCGTGGCCTCTCAGACTCACCGGCCCTGGAAGACAAGTCAGAGAATCACCAGATCGCGAGGCCGAGCTGCTGTGGACTACGAGAGGGCTTCTGTTGCCCACGCGTCCGTCACCACCTCGTCGTCTAGTATAGCCAAGTCCGCTGCGGAGAGGTGCCTTGTTTGACACGGCTGCGGGAATGCTGATTCCAACGTGTCGATGAGATGATGATGATGATGATGATGATGATGATGATGATGATGATGATGATGATGATGATGATGATGATGATGATGATGATGATGATGATGATGATGATGATGATGATGATGATGATGATGATGATGATGATGATGATGATGATGATGATGATGATGATGATGATGATGATGATGATTCGATTCTGATGTTTTGTTTGCCTGGCTGCAATTACAGGAAGCTGCGGGGCGTGCGAAATTCGGCGTGCATGCATGCACATAAAGAGAGACCTGGGGGCGGGAGACGCATCGCGGCAATCCGCGGAGCAGGCTTCCTCACGCCCCAGCGGTCCCAGGCACTGTCATTGAATTCGTTATCTTCAGACCCCCACTTTCGCGCACGTTCGTGCTGGCACTCGAAACGAGTTCAGGGTCCAGGAAATTCAGGAACCAAAAGCTGTTGTCGGGACTTCCCAAGTCAGACCGCCGACTCCAATTCTCTGGGCAACCCCTTCCACAAACATCTCCCCCTTCTCTTTGTCCTTGAACCGTCATCGCCGTCCACCGAGCACAACTATTTCCCTGTGATGTGTATATATATGTATGTGTATATACATATATATAAACATATATGTATATATATGTGTATGTGAAGAGAAGAAAAAATTAAGAAAACACAGAACATGACAAACAAACGCGGCTTGAGCATGCGTGTGGGGCACGACTGGTGCACGACAGTGTGTGGTGCTGCCACGCACCATCTGCCCAGACCGCCGACGTCGTGATTGTTTCACAACGTCGACCCCCAAAAGTCTGGACCTCTTCCCGGGGCCCATTTTTCATCCTCAGTCGTTTTGTTGACGGTCTCAAGGCCCGGTAGGGGCCGCCCGAGGCCGAAAGTAGCAACAAGAACCTCCCGTCGTGATTTTTGCGCCTTGCGAGGAGGTCTGGGATTAGTGAACGACATTGTGCGGTGCTGCCACGCACCAACTGCAAAGAATATTCTCGGCTCAGCAGTGTGCCTCGCTGCCCCGTGCGTTACTGAGCGATCGGCACGATCGGACCAAGCTATGAGTCCTAGTCTGAGTCTTCGCTGTCGGAGTCTTCGCTGTCTGAACCCTCGCCTTTGTGTTTAGGACGATCGAAGAGAGCTGGCGTCAACTCCAAGGCGATGCCCTTGGTCTCCATCACGAATGTCCAGACGAAGAGTCCACAACCGATGTTCAGCACTGCGAAGACATAGAAGGTGCCTGTGATACTCCAGTTCATCAACACTGGCGTGATGTAGACAATCAGCGCATTAAACATATAGTTCACGAACACTGCAAGTGACAATGCCTTTTCCTTCTCCAACATCGAGAAAATTTCTGAGGGGTAGATCCACGGCACCATCCCCCAAGCAAGCTGAAACCCCCCTCCGTAGACGCATACCATACCTGCAACGATCAATGGGTTCCACTCCATCTGCAATCCCATGGAAGCTACGATGAGCGGCGGCCCCATGATGGCAGTAGCAGCCAATAGCTGGCTCCTTCGCCCGCCATACTTCGAATCGATCAGGACGAGGCCAAGGATGACGAACAATATCATCCAGAGATTGAACACCAGGGTGACCAAAATGGGATCATCAAAGCCACACTTCCCGAAAATCACCCCAGAGTACGAAAGGAAGGCGTTCACACCGGTCAGTTGCTGGGCCATGACAAGGCCACATGCTATCAACACTCGCTTGCGAAGATTGCGCTCTTGGAAGAGGCCAGCATAGCTCACCTCGGTCATATCTTTCTCTGCTTGGATCTCGTCCCACATCTCCGTTGCTTCAATATCCACGTTGCCCTCACGAATCTTTTGGAGCTCTTTCTTCCCCTTCTCGTAATCCCCAGTGGAAGCCATCATCCACCGGGGCGACTCTGGGAGGAAGAATGACGCAACCGTGAGAATTGCCCCCGCAAGTCCTGGAAGGAACATACCAAATGCCCAATTCTTGTAGAACGTGCAGACGAGAGTGGCCACGAGACTGCCGACCGCGACATTCAGCTGGAAAAACGAGCCGGTCAGACCGCGGATCGACGGGGTGGAGCACTCCGAGTTGTACACTGGCAAAACCAAGCAGGCCACGCCGACGCCAAAGCCCGTGATAAAGCGGCCCACGTAGAAGACGGGGATGCTGCCAAAGGACAGGAACGAGGCGAGCAAGCAACCCAGGCAGCAAATGAACCCTCCAATGCCAATGCTCCGTCTGCGGCCAATCTGATTCATCATCACAGGGCCAAGTGTCAACGCTCCCGCGGCGGCGCCAAAGGTGATGAGCGTGCCACCCCAGAGGATGAAGCCGCCGTCCCACTCTTTGTTCTCCTTCACCAGCTCACCGTGGCAGTGAGCATCATCACCAAAATTGTTGTCGCACCAGTGGCTCTCAAAGTCCTCGAAGACAGACACCACTCCGAAATTGCCCTGGTCAAGCCCAAACATCATTGCCCCAACCATGGCCATCGCGATAGCAAAGAACATCGTTCCATTTGGCTTCGCCGTATGGGCTGAGGTTTGCTTCACCACCATCCCCTCCCCGTCCATGGCTGCACCTGATTTGTCGGGCTTGTATACCAGCTCGAAGTTGTACCCCACTTGTTGGCGCGCTTCCTCTGGAACGCAATTTCTTGCGCCGAACTTGAACCAACATGGCTACGGAATGTGGTCATGAAAGTGTGAAAGCCGCAGACCCTTGGGCGTGTGTGAGACGATTGTCCATTTGAGTTGTCGTCGTCGCCGCCAGTCCGAAGGAAACCCCACCACCCCTTTACGGCGTGAGTGGTTTAGGGCGTTTCCTCTTCCAACACCCCTTCTTCCCCTTCAGGGGTGGGTGGGTTACTCACTGTTCCCTATTAGTATGCACCCACTCCCCCACCCGGCCGGCAGCCAACCCGGAACAATGCCGACCCCATGATCGCCCCCCCCCACCATCCCTGTCAAAAGACAATTCAAAACACACTCTGCCTCCACAATTGGAGCATGCGCAGCCGCCCCGCGACAACTTTGTATGTGTAACTTCCAGGGACGGCCGGGGTGCTAGCAGATCCCACCTGCCTTCTGGGCGCAGGTGGTCGACCGACTGCTTTGACAAATCAACGGCTGCTTCTCGCCTTTTCGTTTCCGCTGGACTCGAAGCCTCCAAATGGCCCCACCATTGGCCACGAAAGCTCAAAGCCGGGCCCAAGAAGCTTCCGAAGTGGCCCCGAGAACGCCCAAAGTTGGCGCAAAGAGGACCCCTAAGATGTGGTTTTGATGGCCCCAGATGGGGAGGCCTCCAGGTGGCCCCCAATTGGCCCAAGACAGCTCCAAGCCAGGCCCACGAAGCCTTCAAGACGGCCCCAAGAGCGCCCCAAGGTGCCCTCAAGAGGCGGTTTTGAAGGCCCTTGAAGGGGGGCTAGCCCCAGATGGGGGGGGCTGACCGTTATCCCCCCTTCTGTTGACCGATTGCCTCCAAGATGGTCCTCAGAGGCTCCCCAAGGCTCCCACGAGGGCCCCAAGAGTGCTCGAGAATTGTCCCAAGAGGGCCCCACGGCGCCCCAAGATGGCCACAAGCAGCGCTGGGGCATGCGCAATTGCTGGCCACGCAGGTGGAGACCCTATTGGTTCCCAATGGCTGGCGCACCTGGCACGGCTGGAGCACGTGGAACTCTGGGAACACGTGGAGCACGGGCCACACCTGGCGCGCCTGCCACGCATGGGCCTCCAGGGTGTCTGGTGCATCTGGAACCCGTGGCTTCTGTGGCGCTCTTACGCGATACGCTGACACGCCGATGTTACTTATAGGGAGGGCCGATGGGAGTGAGCAAGACGGCTTGCGGGCGGGTGGGCAGCTTGGCCCTTCCCCTACCCCCTTCCCCCTGGACCCGGACGGGGCGGCCGCGGGTCGCTGGAGCGTCCAAGGCGGCCTCGGCGAGGAAGCCAACATCATTGATTGTAGTAAGGTGTTGGCCGCATGCTGACCTCCTGGGGAGGGAGCTGCTGATTGAGGAGCCCTTTTTTTTCTGACCGATCTCCTCCAAGATGGCCCCAAGATGGCCCCCGAGGCTCCCAAGGGTGTCCCAAGACGGCCCCGAGGGGTGCCCAGGAGGGCCCAAGAGGCCACCAAGATACCCTCAAGCTGCCCCAAAGAGACCCCCACGAGGCCCCAAAATGCCCCCCAAGCGGCACCCAAGACGCCGCAAGAGGCACCCGAGAAAACGTCCCAAGAGAATTCCAAGAACCTCTCGAAAAAAAGCCCGAAAAGAGACTCCGAGAGGCATGCGCCCTCCTCCTCCTCCTCCTCCTCCTCCTCCTCCTCCTCCTCCTCCTCCTCTCCTTCCTCATGCGCCTGATCCTCCTGCGGCTGCTGGCGGGAACGGTGCCGGAGGCGGGAGCTCGACGGCGATGCAGAAGGAGGTGGCTCGCTTGCGAGAGGAGCTCAAGAGTCTACGTGCCGCGGCAAAGGTGGGACGCCCTGCTGAAGGGGCGAAGCCTACTGGTGAAGGAGGTGATGAAGAGGAAGATGAGAAGCATCGGAAGGAGCTGGAGAACCTGGACGTCCAGCTGCGTGCGATGCGGGCGTTCGAGTCGCCAGTGCAAGGCGTGCTGGACACCATCGAGAGGCTGGAGGCACAAAAGCAAGCGAAGTTGGAGGAGCTGCGTGCCAAGAAGCCTCTGTTCACCCAACTGCTCGGCCTGCAGCGAAAGCACAAGGCGAAGCAGGAGGCCATCGAGAAGCAGGACGGGGTGGTCGCCAAGGCCGAGGAGGCGATCGAGGCAGCGAAGCTGGTCCTCGAGAAGGAGAAGGCCAAGGCGAAGGCGCTGCGCGTGGAGTCCGTCGAGCTGGAGCAGAAGTTGTGCGAGCTCACGGCGCAGATGCCCATGCCGCCCGACGAGAAGGACACCCCTGTGGCTGAAGGGCCGAAGCTCAACCTGGAGGGCTTGGGCGCGCTGCTGCAGGAGCTGGGGGCCTCTGGGGACGTGGCGGAGCGGCTGCTGCAACATCCGAGGCTGGAAGAGAAGGTGTTCAAGCGTGCTGGCGTGGTGCGCACTGCTCGTGAAGGGGTGCCTGGCAGTGTGAGCGGCAGCAGCGAGCCTGACCCCAAGCGGATCAAGGTTGAGGCGGACAGCGTGCCGATCGACCAGCTCAGGACCAGCTTCGAGGCAGCAGGGCTGGACGTCCCCAGCGAGGAGGCAGAACTCCGTGCGATGGCGCAGAAGATGGCGTCGGCGGCGTCCAAGTGGGCCTACAGGGCTTACTAAGGTATGGGAGCTGATGATGGCACCGGCGATTACAGGCACCATGATGGAGACTTCCAATAATGAAGAGACGTGTGGCAGTTTGGGCACTGCCAAAGGGGTGCTGGCCACGGTGAATGTGTCATGCGGCCGTGGTCTGACAGAGTATTTGGCGGACAAGCCCGTGGGGGACGCGTTCGCCGTGCAGGAGCACAGGGCGAAGGGGGACAGGCTGAGCTCGCTGCAGAACCAGGTGAAGGACCTCGGCTACCACGGGCTGTGGGCGCCAGGGCAGTCCACAGGCGACGGGCCCCTGGACGTATCGGGGGGCGTGGCGCTTCTGACGAAGACGGTGGTCTCGGTGACAGCGCCGCCATTCGGGCCTGCTCCCATCCTGGAGGAGGCGAGGCTACTGGCAGGACATGTTCACTGGGGAGTGAAGGGTGGCATCATCGTCGTGGTGGTGTACCTGCGGCAGACGGTGGGCATGGACGACGACAACTCTGACACGGTCCACGAGTTGCGGGCCTACCTGCGCGTGTTCAACGCATGCAAGCTGGATTGGGTCGCCATGGGGGACTGGAACATGGAGATTGACGAGCTGTATGGGCCTTGGCTGGAGGAGGTGCGAGGCATCCCCATCGTGCCTCCTGGACCGACATGCTGGCAAGCGGGGGATGGCTCGTGTCTGGACTACGTCATTGCGGCGCCCAACCTGGACACGAAGCTGAGTGGGGCACGCGTCGCGACCGAGGCGGCGTTGTACCCGCACTACCCTGTGCACGTGGACCTGGCCAAGGTGGATCGCGTCGACCACATCAGGGTAGCAGTGGAGCCGCGCGGCTTCGGGGCCGTCCCACCTATAGGGGCGGCTCCCTTTCCTAGGGTCAAGATGTGGGAAGGTGCTGCAGGCGGTCATCCGCATCGGCGACACCAAGAGCCTCGAGCACGCGCGGGACGTGGCGATGAAGGCCATCGAGGAGGACCTGTGCGATCGGTGGTTTCTGCGCGGCAGGGCGAGGCGTCAGCACCAAGGTCGGGGCGGCGAACCAGAGTTCAGGATGGTCCAACCCAAGTGGCAGCCTCCCCGCAAACGGCGGCTGCACGACCCCAAGGTGAACGCGTACATGGTGGCTGCCCGCTGGGCCATGCACTTGGACAGGTATCGGGACAGGCTCATCAAGCTGCTGGCGGACAGGAACAACGTGGACGTGGACAGGGTGGTGGACCTGCTCGGCGGGGTGCAGGGCTTCTACGACAACGTGGCCAAGGCGGGCCACGTGCAGGAGCGGCTCGATGTGGAGGTGGTGCGGTGGTTCGAGGGCGGCCTCGTGCAGATGGGCCAGGGCCAGTGGGCGGCCAAGGTCCAGGCTGTGGTCAGAGAGGCGGAGAAGCTGAGGAAGAACTGTGGCAAGGAGTGCGGCAAGGAGTGGAGGACCTGGGCGGCCAGGGGTCTCGAAGGAGGTGCACGTGCAGCGCACGCCTTCACGCGCCTGCCCCCAGCGGCTGAAGTGAGGAAGGCCACGACGCGCGGCAGTCCACACCAGCTGGTGGAGCGGGAATTGGACGAGTGAACGGAGGTGTGGACGTACCGCGAGGTCAAGGCGCTGGAGAAGCCACCCGACTTCGAGGAGTGGGCGGAGCTGCCGAGGATGAGCACCCGACATCTGCGGCAAGCAACGTGGCAGTTGAAGGAAAGGACGGCCGTCGACCAGACGGGCATCGCGCCGCGAGCGTTAGCACACCTCAGTGACAGTGGCCTGTATGTGCTGTCGGCGCTGTTCAGCCAGTGTGAGAAGATGGGCGAGTGGCCGACCAGCAGGCTATTCACGGTGCGGGTCCGACTGTCCAAAGAAAGTGGAGAATGCAGGCTCATCGCACTAGTGAACTCGGTGCTGCGGCTGTGGGCCAAGGCGAGGCCGACGATTTCGAGGAGCTGGATGACCCAGGCGGACGTGCCCAACCTGTGGGGCACTGTGTGTGGGGGGGGGGGAACCTCCTCGGCGGCGGCGTTTCACCACAACCTGATGGCGGAGGTCACCAACCTCAATGGGGGCCACATCGTGACGGTGCTGCTGGATGCGTGGAAGGCGTTCGACAGCTTGATCGCCACACGATTTCTGGGAGAAGCCAGAAGTATGGGGTATCCTGTCAGCCTCATGTGGGCGATCCTGAAGTACCACCACTTGCCGAGGAGGCTCAAGGCGTTTGGTTCGCTGTCGACGGGCTACACGGCGCACCAGGGCATCCTGGCGGGCTGCTCCAACTCGATGGCGGTGCTGGTGGTTGCCACGGCAAGGTCGCTCAAGAGGCTCGCCAGGTTTGACGTCATCCCCAGGACGCTGGCGGACGACACCTCGGTCCAGTGGGCGGGCCAGGACCTGCGTGGCGCGCGGGTGCTCTGGGAGGCGGTGCTCAGGTACATGTACGAGGTGGCAGAGGTTGGGCTGGAACTGCAGGTGGGCAAGTCGGGGCACGTGGCGTCTTCG